AATATACTTTCACCAATGTCGGTTGTAATATAGTTCCTTATTTTCAGTATTCCGTTGTTGTGTGCTTCACAGAGGAGCTGTTTGGTAAAAAGCATGTGACAGTAAGAGAATCTGTGCCTGCAGTAATAGCAGCTTTAATAGGATTTCAGGTTCTTGACCTGAAGGGTAAGAGGGAGAAAGAAAAGCTGACGATAAGATTGCCATGGTCGTAGGATTGAGACAAGTACAATATATCCAGGTCTTAGGAGTAGTTTTGCAAGTTTGCTGAGTGTGCTTGCTTGCATTGATAGGAGGGATTACTTTTTGGTATTACAACAAATATCAGAGATGAATTTAGATTGCAGGGTTGTTATCTTGGAATAAGATGAAATGCTTCAGTACAGTGTTGATCTATATAAATGCCTCTACAGCACATTAAACAGTATTAGTGGGAGACAGGTAACAGGCCAAAACTATTGCCACCTGCAACATTTCATTCGTGATTAATGTTGGTACCATCCTCACACACTGAGATTGGGCTCTAAGTTTGCATGCATGAATGCTATATTTGGAACAGTCAGTGCTAAGCAACTAGGTTGTGCCTTGTTTGTGTTCAACAGACTCTGGACAGCATGGCATGACTGATTGTAGTTTGCTTATATGATATGTAGATTGCTAAAGTTGAGATCCGTGGCATTAAGAAATAACTTGCTTGTCATTTTATAACTCGAAACCAAACTGAAACGCTCTTGACAAACGACAAGGATGAATTCATCGGCCTCTTAAACTGTTCTGTTTTTCTTTCTAATTAGTTTTCACACTGTAGAGTAAGAGTAAGATGTATTTAGTTACCACCACTACAAATTAAAACACATTTTCATTGGTTTGGCTTTACGACAAAGTAACTTTGTTAGGAGCAATGAAATCTTCATCAATGAGCCATCTCCCTAATGGATAAATAAATAATTTGAACATTTGATGTGAAGAACTTTTCTAAGTTAACAACTCTGTAGCATACTTTGCAGAGGATCTTTGGCGGGGCGATCGTGGCTCAAGAGTTGGGAGTTCGCCTTGTAATCGGAAGGTTGCCGGTTCGAGCCCCAGCTTGGACAGTCTCGGTCGTTGTGTCCTTGGGCAAGACACTTCACCCGTTGCCTACTGGTGGTGGTCAGAGGGCCCGGTGGCGCCAGTGTCCGGCAGCCTCGCCTCTGTCAGTGCGCCCCAGGGTGGCTGTGGCTACAATGTAGCTTGCCATCACTTGTGTGTGAATGTGTGTGTGAATGGGTGGATGGGTGGATGACTGGATATGTAAAGCGCTTTGGGGTCCTTAGGGACTAGTAAAAGCGCTATATAAATACAGGCCATTTACCACTTTGGCAGAGATTTCTTAAGCAGCAAACTCTCTTTGTAAACTTCACTCAAAGGTGTTAAATCAGCAAATACTAACTAGTTACCTAAGTACTTGTATTCTCTCTGGGTCTTTCTCCTCATTTTCTTTATCTCCTTTTTCCGATTAGCATTCTGTTCAGTTTTCACTTCCACCTATAATCCTTTGCTCTTTCTATTTTCCACAGCTCTTTTGCACCGTTATCTCCCCTTCTTTTCTTCTCCCGTTCGGTGTTGCTTTCCACCTCCCATCCCTCTCTGCCTCTATCTTTCTCTCTGTCCTAACAGTCCAGTTAATTGCCTCCAAAGTTCACTCTGTCTCTGGGCTAATGCAATTTAAGTAGGGTCGGAGCCCCTTCATCAGCCCAGCGCTGGCATTTCATTAAGTCTGCTTGGGTGTTAGCTTGCAAGCAAGTCGGGGTTTCGCTCCATCAGCTCATCATTAGTAATTAATACACTGATAGGATTAGCTGCAGCATGAGGCTAGTGGCAAGTGGTCGCTCTGTTGTTGCCAGTTGGAGAGGGCGTGTGTAATATGTTTTCCAGCTCTGTATGTGATCAGGGGAAGTGTGTTGGCGAGAACAGTTAGCTTGTGTATTTACATGAGTGTCTGTGACGAAAGCCATATTTTCAGTCTTGTTTAATTTATAGGTTGTAAGTTATAAAAGATTTTTGGGTCCTTTTCATTTTGGGTCCATTTTGGCTTAAAAGGCATTTTAAAAAATTTCCAGTAAAACATCTGCATTTAACTAAATCTAACACAAGATTTTACCTGAGATGATGCGATCCACATCATATTTCCATGGATGTGCACTTGGATTAATATGACTTTTAGCGACTGAAGGCTTTCCCGTGCTTGATGGGAGGGGTGCTCTCCGCAGTGTTAATTACATCATTATGGTTGGGATGGATCTCCATCTGCTCAGCCATTACTCCTGTCCCATTCTGGGCTGACCCACACTGCGTCTCAGAATTAGACACACACAGGCTAAATGGCCCTTCTAAATTATGAAGCTATTAGATATGGGAAGCTATTTTAGAACATATGTATTCACAGAGAGAGAGAGAAATGAAGAAGGGTGAGAGAGAAAGGAAAAGATGAGGTAGAGAGAGCAACAGAGAAAAAATAGAAATATGAGAAATGAGAGATGACGCCCTAAGAGATTTTGAAAAATGAGACAATGAAAGAAACAGAGGGAATGTGCAGATAGAATGATAAAGGAGAGGAAGTGAACTTTCTGAGTCTGGCCAGTGTTTCAGTGTGCTTGTTCTGGACTATTGTTAGAAATTGATAAGATTTTTATGAAGCATGATAAGACGTTGATAGATCTCACCATGGATCACGCAGACAGATCAGAGAAATAGATGACAAGACTTTTTTCGGCAGTCATCAATAGTACCCAGTCATGTCGTTGGCTGCCTTCTGTCCAGAGGTCTGTTCTTCATAATTATTTGTGATGCACGTTTATGCTGAAGGCCACAAAAAATATAAAAAAATATAAAGTTTATACCAGCCCTTTTTTGTTTTGTTTAGTTTTTTTTTTAGCAGACTCTATCTGCAAAAAAAAAGTCATCTAAAGTTTCAATTTCCCATCAGATGTGATATGAACGCATGAGTCACCAAAATGTTTGTGGGTTTATTCAACCAAAAATAATAGTATTCTAGAAAATAGATGTTTCTCCACAGCTGCCACAAGAACTGTCAAGAAATCAAAGGGAAAAAACCCAACAACAAACAAATCTACATTGGTTATTTTTTTTGCAATAAAGCTTTGCTTTAAAGCTCTTCATTGAGCAGCAGTACTAGAATAGGATATAAAATGGAATAGAAACATATTTAGTGTCACTGTAACATGTACAGTGAAATTTAGGGCAGTTTCAAAAGTGAATAGATCAACAGTCATATAAAGCTATATAAAAATTAAATAAGAAATCAAAAAAAAAAAAGAGACAAAAGCAAAGTCACGTGGACAGCATGTAGCAGCATGTGATCTTTCTGTAAGTCTGGCTATGAAAACCCAAATTATCCAAAAAGTTTATATCAAACTCACAAGTTTTTGAAGTCATTTTTTATAACCAAACTAGACATGACAATGAGGCTGTTTTCTTTTTCCTATTATCAATAAAGACACCTGCTGTACAAAGACCTTAGGATATAAAAAAAGCCCTACATGAATAATCTGACAACAGAACTGAGCAGGAGGGTCAAGCTCCAAGGATACGATTGTGAGTCATTAGTAAGCCTAAGGACTTCATGTTACCATATCAGAGTTTAGGTAGTATTAAGATAAAGCATATAAATGGTATACATATAAGAACAACAAAAAAAGGAGTTTCGTCATTTTACATTAAAACATGATACAGGTGACTTTGTGACATTTAAAAAAAAATAAATAACATTTATTCAGAAAGACTCCTCAAGATGAGTTTGCATTATTGTTATATAACTGTACATTTTATTATCACATCTCATTTTTACTGTTACTAAGAAACAGCCCCTCGAAATAGATGTTTAACTTGTGCACTGCTTGTACTTTTTTTGTACAGCAGAAAAAATGTTAAAAAATGTAAATAATGAAAATATTTTAAAAGTTAATAATTGGTTGTGATTCTTACTGCATTATTTCTGCTGACCGACTAAAAGAAAACACTAAAATATTTACTCTAAAGTGACATGATTGGAGCTTTATAACTTTAAAAAAATAGAAAGTCACTTTCTATGTAAAATGTAAGTAAAAAATAGAATGCAATGATTTTATTGGAACTTAGAAAAATAAGAAAATACCGATTACCGATTATACCAAATATTACCGGTATTTATTTAGAATTTGATGGCAGCAACTTGCCTCAAAAAAGTTGGGACAAGCTGTGTGTACTGCTGTGTAGCAAAATTTAACTTGTGAATTGAGACCAGTTGCTGGACTTTTTAGAGAGGAGTGTATTTTATTGTTATCTGACAAAGTTGCTCAACATTCCTATTTCTTCTTTGTTTTATTATTAATGATAAACCAAAAGTTTTTAGTTGCTGAAAATTCAGTTGACCTGAAAACAGGCAAGTTCAGCAGCTGGACTCCTCTACACTGCCACGCTTTTGTAATAGATGCAGTACGTCGTTTAGTGTTAACTTGCTGGCATCTTCTTTCCATGATAACATTTTAACCTTGTGGATGGCCCATGCAATGATTTCCATAACATGTCTGTCTTTAGTGCAGCGCCGCCTGAGGGCCTGAAGATCCAGTATTGATTTTAGGCTTTGCATACATATATTTCTTCCATATTCTCGGAACCTTTTGATGAGATTATGTAACGTAAATGATGAGATATTCAACGTCTTCACCACTATTTGTAATTTTTGCATATTGGTGAACCTCTGGCCCTCATTACTTCTGAGAATCTCTCTCTCTCTCTCTAATCTCTCTAAGATGTTCTTTATATACCCAATCATGTTACTGTCCTGTCGCTAATTATTTGCAAAATGTTCCTCCAGTTCTTTGTTTTTGTGTACCACGCATTTTGGCTACATTTACCTTGTGATTAGATTGACTTAAATATATTTCCCCTGCATTAGAAACAATTTTTAGTTCTTAAAAACTGTTTCTTCAGATTTTTCACCCATTGTTTTTTGTATTGCTTAGGTTCTGCTTATGGAGTATTTGGATGTGAAGAACAGCCGCAGTGCTACGGAGCCCTCAGCTCAGCACTCCTATGCGAGCACTGGCAGTGAGTTTGCTGCCTTTTTTGCAAAGAAAAAGCCACAGCGTGCCAAGCAGTCGCTCTTCAAGTAAGGATCACATTACTTTCTCTAATGTTTGTGTTAATCCAAGTTTGAAAAAATAGGCAAGAAAGAAAAGCACGTGAAACACAAAAAATAAAACACCAGAGTCTAATGATCTATGTAGCTTAAAATCTGTTGAATTATACTTTGAGACCAGCTATTCTTAACTGTACTTGTAGAGCAGTGTGTTTCTTCCTATTAGCAGTGCACTGAGAATAACAGAGGAGCCGTATCAAGCTCTTAGCATGTTTTTATGTGAAGGGTCCTTAGCTAACCATTAATCAGTCATATATTTCTCAACTAATTAAAGGGGATCTACAATGCCCATTTCCAGCTTCATATTTTTCTAGTTGGATTATACCTAAAGAATTATTATTCTTCAAAAGAATTATTATTTGTCTTTTACTGGGTCTTGCTGCACTCATCTATTATGAAATAAGCTGTTTTAACTCACTTAAGGTCAAAGTCCCTTTAAAAAAAAAATCTGTCCTCTGATTGGCTCCCTATTGCAGCGTTAAGGATATCCCTTCTCAATAATATCATACAAAGCCAAGATTAGAAAAAATGGTCTGATGCTGACCGCTTACAGCACATTGAAGCTTAGCTCACAGGTACTTAACCCACAGTTGTAACACTATATGCCAGTTATTAAGGAAAATCAGAATAGTTTTACCTTCCGTTCATCTGTAGTCTTGTCAGGTAGTTTACAGCAACAGTTACTACTAACTTCACAAAATGTGTTTTTATGTATGAAATTCTGGATTTAAATTCCATGTATGTGTCTCATTTTCACACCTTTGAGTATTATGCTGATATGTTGTTCCCCCTTGTTGAACCTTTTGCAGGTTTGAATCATCATCCCATGCCATCAGCATGAGTGCCTACCTGAGAGAACAGAGGCGAGAGCTCTACAGCAAGAGTGGAGAATTACAAGGTGAGGAGAGGGATGGATGGATGAACTGAGCAGTTTAAAGTAGAGAGGGAGAGAGCTGATTCTCTAATACAGACAAGGGACAGACTGAAAGCAAAACCTGAACCCTTGAACCTATAGTGAGGACATCGGGTGTCTCTGTTATGCTGTGGTAGACATTTTTACGGGGTGGTTTGGTCCACTTGTCCCCTCAGAGAGAACAATTGCTTGGAATCGGTACAAATTTGTTCTGACTGGTCACCCTTGTTCTGTGATGAACCACTTCTATACTGATAGAAGGGAACAGCAATAATTGAAAACTATGACTCATATGCTATGGCTTCAGCAGTCATAGTTCTCAGCTTAATTGAACACCTGACATGTAAGACAATCCTTTTCACCGTGATGGTCAGAAGTTCACACCTTAATACACTTAATCTTCTTATTTTCCTTTAAGTTTCCAACCATTTCTTAGTATATGATAAGTGTGGATTGATGGCAGGAGGAAGAGATAAAAAGGTATGACAGGTCCAGATGGTGTGAAAAGTACTGACGGAATAGTAATGGATTAAATTGGATAAGAATTTTTTCAACTTGTGTGATAATAAAAGAGCAGCATGAACATAGAGATGTCGTCTAAATGGATGAAAAGAAGGACAGGGGTTATGGAAGAAAAACTGTAAAAAAGACATAAAGACGTGGACCTTGCTTGAACACAATCGATAATACTAATACCCCTCACCCTCCTATAAGGTTGAGGAGTGTGAGGGGTATTAGGTCATGTTTGGCTAAGATAGAGGTGTCTGCGGTGGAAGGATGGTGATGGAAAAAGTTTGGTAAAGAGGAGGAATGATAGCGTCAGAGAGATGTGACTACAGTGCAGTGAAGATGGGGAGGACATGCTGCAGTTCGAGAAGTCGCACTTAAGAAAAAGGAAAGGGAGACAACAGGAGTGTGAAGAGGGAAATGGCGATAGATTGACGAGATGCACAGAGCGGGGTGACTTTGCAGAATCCGCCTACAGGGAGAGGCCTTGAAAACCTCTCACTCACACTTTCACGCACGCACAAAATAGCACAGTGAGTGAGCTACACAGCCAGACCCTGGAGAGTCTAAACTGTTGTGCTGCCCCGACTTCTCTCTTCTCTCTGTCTTTCCTCTCCTCCTCTCTTTGCCTGGCTCTGCTCCTCTGCCTGTGACCTTGAGGTTTCAATCAGCAATGCCTGACAGCACTGTTTGCTGCTGTCTGTTGCTATGCCTTTTCCCCCCCACACCAAACGCCTTGTTGACATAGTATAGATAAAATAAAAAGGTAATTTGAAAAGACTAGTGCAAAAAAGTGCAAAAGAGATCCTCTAGCACTGTCTGCACAACTTCTTATAACTATCAGGGGTAAACTGTATAAATAATGCAGCATTGATTAGGCTAGATATTTAGCTTAAGGCTGAAATTACAATGCCGGCTGTACTTCTTTTCTTGACGAGAAATGCCACTCATACTGCACTGAGTCTGTAAATATATGCAAAATTTACTACCCCAGCTCCCCACTGCTACAAAACAAGCAGCACTGATTAACTGTCGATGAAGGAAAACCCCCAAATGGTCTTCATATAACGGCGCTTTTTTTTTTCTTCTTCCATCTGTCGGTGCCTCAGAAAGAAGGTGGAAAAATATTTTTTTTGACTGGCTGAATGCCTCAAGGGTTTATAAGAAGATGAGATTTCTCTGGGCTTTCATTTCACCTGTCACAATGCGTAGCACCGACCACAAGCCCAGGCCAAGGCCTGAATGGCTGAAAAGAGAATGAAGGAGTAAGAAATCATTTAGAAAGTGAAATAAGTCAGCTGTGATGGAGGGAGGGGAAAGATGGATGAAGGAGGAGGGAGGTTAAAAGTCATTGTTTTCATCAGGGTCTTGCGAAGAAGCCATTAAGAGCTTTCTGAAGGAAGAAATTAGAAAAATATGTATTGAGACAGTGTGGAAAGGGACTTTTTCTCTCTCTCTTCAAATTAAACTTACCATAGGGAAGGAAGGTGAGGAAAAGAGTTAGCAATGAGAGATTGAGTTGATTAATTCTTCTAGCTCTGGGATTACTCAACACTTAAAGCTTAGTCATGTGTGTCCTTCTGTCTTTTTACTTGGAGTTTCCTAAACTCCTTTTTTTTTTTCCCCTTAACGGTCTGCTTCAAGTCAATATAGTTATTAACTGAAACGCTCACCAACAGAGTCTTGGAAATAAGAGTTTGATTGTTCATTTTAAATCCAGCTATGCACCGTTAACAAATGCATAAAAATGGTAATGCACAAACTTCTCAACTTCAGATACTTTTGAATTTTGCACTTTCTGGTGATACTTTCTGGAGATGCACCACTACAGAATTTCAGGGCCAAAGCAAAAACAAAGAAATATTTTAATCTTTGTAGACTTATTTAACTGTTTCAACAGACTAATTACTTTCAGACTTTTCTGTATTTATTTTTATAAGCATGTGTGGGCTACAAAAGCCAAAGGATAATTTTAGATGCAGATTATTGTCAAAGATACCAAGCTTTTTAAAAAATAAAATACAAATCAAGTTAGATTAGGTCTTCTTCTTAGGTCTTCTTCTATCCTCAAAGCTTTAGAGTTTAGCTAATCTTCTGACACATAGGTAATTAGGCTGAACTGTTACCAGCAATTAGTGTCACAATTAAAAGCACAGAGGAGTGACATAGAAAAATCAGCATTCATGGCTGGGTTTTTAAGTTTGTGTAGGATTTTTCTTTTCTTTTCTTTTCTTTTTTTTGAAACTGAACCCTCTATTTAGTGAGGTCTCACTATTCTGGGGCAATGTGTAAGAGGACTGGCTCAGTGGAGCCATTTGGAGCACGATGACCTGACTGTCTTCTGTGTGGCCCCATTTGTTCTGCCTTTACGAAAGGCCTCAAGGACATCCTAGCTGCTTTTTGATAATGTGAAAGCTCATTGTGTTCCCTTAGGGCATAAGAAAATAACACAGAGGAAGAATAAACTACTACTACTGAGTGGAGTTATATTTTACACTTTTCTCTTGTGTATCCTGAAAAATTATTTCAGCTCTCAACAAAATTTCTGGAACAAAGTTAACAATACTTTGAGTTTCTGTTATCATTATCTTAAAGCCCCTGATTTATTGGGCATCCTTGACATTTTATATGTGATCACATTAATATAAAAGACGCTTGCTTTTGGGTAGGTTTGTCAAACAGTGACCAAAGAGTCAAATGCCGTCATTCATTAAAAAATTAACACATAGTTAAACCATTTTAATATTGCATTGCCTCCACAAACCAAAATAAGAGGCACAACTGCTTCTGTAGGTTCATTCGTTTTAACACAGACATGCCTTTTACGTACTTACACATAAAATAATTGGGCTTGCTTGTATTAATTATATAGGGTAATTAATTGTGAAATATATTTCTTTATCAAGCCATCTGGCTCCTGTGTTGCATCAATCTTTTCCTAAGTTAGCCATTTAATAAGGCTTATTGAGTATCTTTTTATATAGCACAGTTAAGGTTCCTCAGTTTTGTTATCTACTGATCAAAATCAGGTGCATTGAGTGCAGTCTCTTTAGTCAGGTTAGGTTAGTTGTTATTTGAAGTGCCGCAGGTTTAAAATGACCCCCATTGGGTCTTATCACTTGAGACTTTTGAATTGTGAAGATTTGGTTTTTTTGAAGCCATGATTTACAACTGTTAAGTTAATTACTTATTAACTGTTAAGCTAATGCACAGTCTTGGAGCACCATGCCAGATCTTGTCTCATCGGCTGATCAGGAGAGAGGTGGTGGATCAGCCCACAACCACAGAGGAGGAGCTTGTTTATGTTCTGTTGGGGCCACAGTCAGTAAGAATACCATTGGTAACACACAACGGCATAATGGTCATTGAATCTTCTTAAACCACTGGATTAAGAAGAATGAATCTTGCATGGTCCTGCTGCTTAAGAAGGCACATGTGCAGGCCCCTCTGAAGTTTCCCAGTTTATATCTAAATGATTCCGAGTCTGGGAGCAAGTCCTGTGGTAAGATGAAACCAAAATTGAGCTCTTTGGCATCAACTCGACTCACTGCGTTTGGAGGAAGAGAAATGCTGAGTATGGCCCAAAAAACACCATTCTCAGAGTCAGTAAAGCCAGAACACTGAAGATAGTTTGTCGATGGGTCTTCCAGCATGGCAATGACGCAAAAAAACTGCTTAGACAACAAAGGAGTGGCTAAAAAAAAAGCAGGTGTCCAGACCTCATCCTGTAGAAAATTTAAGTTATCAAAGTGCAACCAAGAAAGATAAAAGATTTAGAGAGTTTCTGTAAAGATTAAAATGGTTATTTCGCTCAGTGACAGACAAATCAATTTCTAACTTGTAGCTATGTAAAGCATTTTTACTGGATTTTTGTTTGATATTCTTTCTCTCTTTATTCAAATGAAACTACCATAAAAAATAAAGTGTTCATTAATTTGTAAGTGGGCAAGATTACCAATTCAGCAGGTAATCAAACAATTTCTTTCCCCATTGTATGTTTTTAAGCTACTTTCCTTTTCCCCCCCTTTTATCTATTTTAATGTTTTTACATTTTACAAAAATAAAAAAGCTAAAATCTTTAACAACATTAAAATGGAAAATAGAATGACTCGTTGTAGCTCACCGTCAGGTGTTGAAGTGACATTCCTCCTCTTACTTACCCTAATAACAGTAGTCTAAAAAATTCTCACTAAATACCTCTCGCTCCCTTATCTCTGCACCTGCAGCAATGTAACTTAAGCTTGAAGGAGTGAGAGCTGCCCCTACACCACACAGCTGTTCTGACTTTGCCACAGAGTGCATGCTGCCCCCAGCAGCAACTTTGCATTCTATGTAGCTCAGAACACAGATGGCTGCTGGTAGTGCTGCTTTTAAAAAAATGTAATTATTATAATCAAATTTAGAGTATTCGTTGGCAGCACTACTCTGGGGTGATGTGATAGATGAATAGCTGGCGTGTAGATGACAAGCTTGCTTTG